GTTACAAAAAAGACAAGGAAAGTTTCATACCCACAGAAAATATTTTTTTGATACAGACCCAAAGAGAAAACATATCAAAAGACATTTTTCTACATGTCTTTTGCAAGCACAAAAAGCCGAAATGGTGTCAAGAGAAAACAAAACAGAAAGCTTGTTTCTTCTAACAATTGCTTTAAGCTACAAAATCTCCTTGAATCCCCAGCCTCCCCTTACTGTCGACTTTCCACTCTCTCTCTCTCTCTCTCTCTCTCTTTCTCTCTCTCATTCTCCCTCTGTCTCTCGCTCGCTCCCTCCTTCTCTTTCCCCCTCTCCCTCTTAAAGGGAAAGCAGGCCCTTCTGTAGGGGCTGATAGGTTGTAGGCTGATGCTTAGCAACAACATTCCTGCGCCTTAAGTAGCAGTAAGCCCCTGGCTGAACTCTTTGAAGTGGCTGTCAGGCCACATTTATTTCGTTTTAGCACTTTGTCTACTTGTCCAGATGTATAAGGAGATAAAAAAGCACTGGTGTTTACACTGATCTCTGCTCTCCCTCTCTCGCTCTCATTCTCTCTTTCTTGCTCTCTATCTCTCTCACTCTCTGTGCCACTGATTAGATTAGCCCTGATCAGTCTCATGAGAATGCGTTGAGCCTGGTATTTTATATGTACATGTAATATGTATATACACACTCACACACTCACACACACACACATACACACATATATATATATATATATATATATATATATATATATATATATAGTCTGTGGAGCTATATATACCATATCTATCCATATATATATATATATATACATATATATATATATATATATATATATATATATATATATATATAGATACATATATAGATGGATACAGCATATATAGCTCCACAGAATAGGCTACTTTTCTTTCCACTTTCTCTCTCTGAAGTGCAGATTTGTTTGGAGATGATAATCATGGATGACTCTGGATTTTAGTAGCATTTACTGTATTTGTGTTGGGAGCAGAACAGAAGGAGAGAGAGCGTGAGTGTGATGTATAATCCAGCGAAGGACTCATATTTCACGGTGACATTTTCAGGAAGGAGTCCTCCCTCTGATAGCGAGGCCCCCGGTGGGATAAGGGCTGCTGTGGCTTTCTCTGTTAATGCCATTATTAGAGATTTCTTCCGTCCCCAGCTTGTAAATTTCTGCTGCATTATCATAAACTGCAGTGATTACTCAGTGTATAAAGACAATAATGATGTGAGCAGGCAGCATATGCCCAGGGCCTGCAGAGTGAACGCTCAGTCTGATGAGTGGCTGGGAGACGCTCTTATATACTTAACACTGCAGCGCCCCCATCTGACCAGTGCAGATACTACCATCCACACCTGTGCTATTGGTTACTCCAGTGTGTGTGTGTGTGCGTGAGCGGGGGACACTGATCAGTGAAAACAAGAGGAGAATCAGATGTATAAGGTGTAGTAATCACCTGCAGACTTTTAGATTTTATTATGTCCTTGTAGAAATTCATGTTCAGTCTGAACACCTTTATGAAAAACGTGCTGATAACTGGGCTTTTTCATGAGTATTAGAATTGCTTCATGAAGGCAGTTGATTGTCTGGTTTGTTTAGTGTATAACGGTTGCAATGCAAAGTCAGATCAGGGACAGCTTGCGCCATTTCACAAGCTCCTCCCAAAATGGCCAAAACAGGCAGTCAGGGCCATACAGCGTTTACCTTGATGCAGATTGACTTGAACAGAGAGATGAATGAAAGATCCCTCCGCAAAGCTGTGTATTATCACTGTATTATCAAACATTTTAATGGGGAATTTCACAGATTTAAAAAAATAATAATAATCAAATCATTAAGATGTAAACAGCGTCAGTCAGAGCAGTTTGATGTTTCTAGAGAAACTTACTGAGTCAGTATTGTTCACAGTGGTGGTGATAGTAACCAGACGTCTTAAGAGTTTAATGCCTCTAAAAGCAACATCACAGGAAGGCATTACATGAAATGGTTGTGAATATGCTGCTTGATGACTGAGACATTGTTTTACATTAGTTTTAGATAAGTTTTGTCCTTAAACTTTTATTAAATATTTAAAAAGTCCAAAATCCATTCATGGTGGAGAGTTAAACACATGGTGTTGTAAAGCAAAATAGTCCCTAAATTTATTTATTTTTTTATTTTATTTGACGGTTATCAACATTATATATAAAAACTCAGAAGACGTGGAGGGTCACTGATGTTTTTGGACAGTAAATAGAATATCTGTTTTATGTTGTGGACATCAAGACCTCTGGTTCCTATCACCACCACTGTAAAGAAATCTGAGGGTTTTTTTTATTTTTACAGCATTTGAAAGTGTATGTAATGTATGGCTAAGTAAACATTATCATGGTTACTTTAACGTATGTTAAAATTAAGTTCCTTTCTCGCATAAAGTTGCCATTTTTGAGATTTTTTTGTTACAACAGAAACAATATGAATTCACATTCATCCATAACTCAGTGTATCTCCCACAGCACTGAGCTTTGTGGCTCTTCTTCACAGCATGAGAGTCCTCACTGACTTCAGTCCATCAGGACCAAGATTCCTTTGATGTTCTCTTCATTCTTATTGCTCGTGTTCCATATTTCCCTTTGGAATCAGCCTATATATTTCAACAATGTTGTGTTTCATGAGCACATTACCTCAATTTCCACTGTTATCAGTCATTATAATCCGACAGATCAAAACACAAATTAGATAAAAGCTAATCTATATCTCTTAAAAGCAAATAAAGACAAATGGTTCAGTGAAAGCAAAAGCTCTTAACTGCCCGTGTGTGCTCTAAGCCTCTAGAATGAATGAATTCCTGAAGCCTGGAGCGACCCCTTGGCTTGTGATTATGTTTGTGTAAAATCTTAATGGTGCTGATCAAAGAGGGACCTCTTGTCCGCCTGCCCTTTAAGAAGCTACAGAAAAAAAGGAGCCTGATAACAGCTGGCATTCAAATTGAGTTTTCCTTTAACTTTGTTTCGCAGGGATTCCCATTATGAGGCAGGCCTCCTTTCTCATCACGAGGATGGCTCATTGAATAAAGAGAAAAGAGGGGAGGGGAGGGGAGTGGAGGGGAGGAAGTGGGAGGGAGGGCTCTGATTAATCTTCTCTGAGGGTGGGGGTGTTTGATCAGTGGACTTGGCCAGAGAGGGGGGCATCTCTGATGTTGACAGCGGGCGACTTTTGCGCACGGTGTGTGATTGACGCGCCTGGCCGCTGGGCTGGTGGGGGGGTTGCGCTGTGTCCAGTGGGGCAGAGCCAGCCCCTGCCTGTGGGTGGTGGTGTTAATAATGTGGCAACTGGGAAGATTAATTGTAGACAAGCAGCGGGATTACGAGGGGCTTTGTGGCGGGGAGAGGGCCGTTTGCTGGGGAAGGCCTCTGATCTGTCAAGCCCAGAGGAAATTAGTCAGGGCAGACTGAAGCTGACTCTCAAAACGCTGCTTTAGGATATTAAAGCCAAATGGCTGGAGGAGATTGAGGCTGGTAACAAGGAAACTGCTGACACGCTCAAAAGCCGACACGGCTACCTCGCGCCATCAGACTTAGTGAGCGTGGTGATAATTAATGACAGGATGCATGAAGTGATAATGCCTAAATTGAGGAATAATGATTAGGAAATACATTTACAGTCTCCCTTTACACTTTTCAAAATAAAGGTTCCTAAATGGGTCTTGGCTCGGATTTACAGTTCTAGGAAAAACTATTAACTGGTACAAAAACTTTACATTAGGTGGAGGTTCTTTAAACTTTAAAAAGCTTCTTCATACAAGACTTTATTTACAAAAAGTGTTCTTTAAGGACTCATCCACTGAATGGTTCTTCTCTGGCATTGCTCCAGAGAACCAAATGAGTGTACTATGTCCTAAGACTCCAACCCTTTGTGACTTTATACATTTTAGGCCTCTGTTTGCCCCAGAAAAGCAATACATTTAGCAATGTCCACTTTGCATTTTCAAGGCTACGCTCTGTGCTGAAGAAAAAACAATGACTGGAATATCTGAGCTAAGCCCTTTGTAGAGTGCATTTGTCGGTGCTGGCCCTCATGATGATTAAATACCCTGTGAACTGTTGCCTGCAAGATTTTTGCAGCTAGTTTTAGAGGCTAACTAGGGCATTTTTGGTCCTTGAAACAACACTAAGGGGATAAAACAAAAAAATACTGGCCCAAAGTGAATGCACTGAGGGTCTAGACATGTCCTCTAGATCCTCCATTGCAGTCCTGGCCTATAAAGTGAGCATTGTGCTCATGTTTGTTTGTTTAGAGTCTGGAGAGTGAGAGATGAGTTTACTTAAACGCAGGGCCAGGCTTGAGGGAGTAGTAATTTCATGCCACCTGTTGGTTTGTCAGCACACAGCACTGTGTGTGGGGAGTGAGAGAGAAAGTGGGAGAGTGAGTGACAGGATGACCTGAGGCTGACCTCCACGTTGGTTCATGACTGAGTAGGAGCTGGGTCCTTCCCCTGGTCCTCTCTTAAACAAGCAGAGGACAGATAATCAAAGCAAGGGTCTCTATTCACCTCCCCTCTTCCCTGCCCTTGCGCAAGCTAATGAATTCCGGCCTGCGCCCTGATAAAACAGCAGCGCTGCTTCCACCATTACCTTTCCACTGCACTGGAAAAATTTATGGCAGTTGGACAATCATTCTTAGCAATGAAATCTTTCTCCGGCACCCCACCCCTCGCTTTCACTTTCTTTCTGTCTCTCGTGCTCTTTGTCTTGCTCTCGCTCTCTCTCTTTATCAATTTCAGTCTCCATCAATCTGGACGAATGCTCCTGATTGGTGGTGACAAATGAGTGCTTTTCATTTAAGACTCAATTAGGATCAATGCATTCATTGCTCCAAAATCAATAATGTACATTTCTCCTGTCTATCCAACATAATAAATCTGCCCAGAGTGCATTGCCGAGCAGCACAGGTGTCGGGCTGAGCAATCCATTAACACATTCAGCTAATGTGTGCTGTATTCATCTCGTCTTTTGTTTTGCAGGGTCTCAGTGATGTCGGAGCAGAAGTCACCCTGCCTCCTTACACCCCTCTACCAAAAGGATCCAGAGACGGCAAAAACCACAAAGGTAAATTATGACTTTCTGTGCCAAAAATGGTCAGTGGATCATGAAAGATATATTTCTCAAGTCTCTGATTTGTATCACTGCAGCTCACTCTTGTGAGTACTTTGTCATCATTACTTTTAGCAAGCACTCTGTTGCTACTGTTTCTGATGTACAGAGTATGGCCAAAAGTATGTGGACATGCCTCCTAATTATTGAGTTCAGGTGTTTTAGCTGCACCCATTGCTAACAGGTGTATAAAATCAGACATAGCAATGCAATTTCCATGGAGCTTAGTGACTTTGAACATAGCATTGTCATCGGATGCCACCTTTGCCATTATTGTGGTGAAATGGAAGCATCTAAATGCAACTTCATTCAGCCATGAAGCAGTAGACCATGCAGAACAGGGCTGCTGAGAGCTGTAGTACATAAAGATCACCTGTTCTCTTTTGCATCACTCACTACAGAGCTCTAAACTCAACTGTGGGTCGGTAGCTTTACAAAAAGCTACGTTGTGGCAACAGTGTGGGGAAGGCACTTTTGTGTTCCAGCACGACTGTGCCCCCGTGCACAAAAAGAGGTCCATAAAGACATGGTTCTTTTCCAACACCAGAGCCGCAATTCAAGAGTTCACAATTGAAGTTGTGACTGAATGGGTGTATCTCCACAATGAGAACTTTACAGGAGATGGAAAAAACATGCTTTACTCTTAATGTGAGTCAATGGAACCAGATGCTTTTCCAGGTAATTTTGGGCCATTTGGTTTGGTCCATTCATCATAAAATTTACAAAAACGTGAAGGGTAACAGGCATTTTCAGATTATGTCAAAAACTAAAAACGACAAAAATCGAGATACAAGATTTTATTCTGACAACAGCGATATATTCTGTTTTTGAGAATTCAGATTGTTTCAGTTGAAGCATAAAATACTAGGAAAATGTCAGCAGGCAACAATTAACTAGGTTATTCTAGGTTATACTAGGTTATTTCTAATATTATTATTATTCCAGTATTCCTGTGATATTTTTAGCACCCCAAGTATGCATTTTAAACATCTATTCTGCATCTACATATAGAATAGTTTATATCATGCTGTAATTATTTGTATTCAGAGACATAAACCCTGTTGTTAAAGATGATGTGTTTTTCTATGTTATTGATTTTTGTCCTAAGGAAGCAACCCCACATTGATAGCAGTCGGTTATTATATCTCATACGAGAACTGATTGTTTGTGTACCCAGAATGTGCACAGTACAAAAAAGCCTCCTTTACCTCCTTCACGCTGCACAAAAACATGCCACAGTATCATTGTTTTTAAAATAGTCTGAGATGTTCTCTTCACGAACAGGCCGCTTTATTTTCAACTGCTGTTTGAATTCCCAAGCCAGCTTTTCACGGGACGGCCATGGTGCTGTCGCTGCTGCTTTCATGCGAGGTCAGCGGCAAGCCCCTCCACCCCCCACCAAGGACAGATCTATTTCACAAAGGCTGACCCGCACCTCTCAAGTGATGTAGAGGAAAGCCCAGTGCTTTGTCAAAATCATGTTGCTTGAGAATAGTCCATTAAAAGGTGAGCGGAGCTGACATATGAAATATTTTTTCTCCCTCTTAGATTTCGGCGCGCTGACACTCTCCATTCGTTATTTTTACGATACTGTACTGCAGCGTTAGATAACACAGGCCCTCATCTTTGTCCTTCGCCTCCTTTTATTCCTCTGCTGTTATCGTGCCGTTTTTATTTATCTTGACTTATTGCCTATTCTATTTGCTTAATGCATCGGGTCCGACACTGTAACTCTTTATTTGCACTCACCTTTGGCTGCGCTGTGAAAAAAAGCTTTAATAGAATAGCCATGACACTAAAAGATGCAGTTCACCTCCAGGACTGTGTCAGGAGGATGCGAGCTATTTGTATGCATTGGCAATAACTCTTCGGCTGCTTGTGAATCATCACGTGATATAATTATGCGATTATTTATCAGCGTGCACGCGTTACCTATAGGTGCGGTGCGGGCCCAGTCCTGTCAGGCATGCTGTATGTTAGATGCAGTATTGCGCTGGCGGGCAGAATTAGCTGCATGTCTGACAGCGGGCTGTCTCCAACAGAGAGCCTCTTTACCGTTTCTCAATATCGCTACAATTAATGTCACCTGCACCAAGGCCCCAGAGCCAAGGTGCCATGGGTAATCACGGCAGGCAGGAGCTCTCTGGAGGGGGGAAAGAGAAGGGCTGGCCTGGCTGACAAACAGTGAAGGGGACTGGAGGAAGTCTTGGCTTTGGGATATGAGACCCTTGTCTCTTGCGTTTGTGTGGAATTGGAGAGTGGACACACAGTGAGTGGACAGGAGAGGCTTAGAGGAGGCTGGAGGAGCTAGACATGGAGGAAGAAAGAGGCAGAGAGGCCATGTGGCAGAGCAGGCGTGACACAGAGTGGACGGCAGCGGCTGCATTCTGCGAGGGTGGCCGCAGGAAGCAGCACTGCTGTCAGCTCCAACCAGCTTTAAAGCAGCCTGTCTGGCTGGAGAGACCAAAGTTACTCTCCAGAAGCAGCCATCTCCTTAAACATAATGCTTTCCAAGGCAAGCGCCAGAACAGCAGCACTGCTTTCAGCAACACGGAACTTCTGTTTATCGACAGACACAAATTAATAGCGAATAGCGCTCTAACCTTTACATTTTAAGCATGTAAGATTTACTTAGAACAACAGTGAAAACACGTTTACATCCACTCTGACCCTTTGTAAATTATATAACTAGAAAATATACGATTCCCCATGTATGTTGTTGGACATTTGAAGGTAATAAATACTACTTTGGAGCTCTTGGCTTTAAGAATATCTGATCTGACCATCATTTATTTCCTCCCTCGTGACCAAACCAGAGGCCTTTTACCAGGCAGGGTGAAACTGTACTCCTACATGTATGAGCCCGCAATGCATTTAAATGCTGTTATTTTGGGCCGTGCTCCAGCTGTGTTGTATGTATGTATTTTAAATGGCACACAACTGTTCTTGAAACCCCTGGAGGCAGGCAGCCTTCAAAGAGAAAATCTGAACTGAAGACACCCCAGGGACCCTTGCACTTTTTTACGCCTGCAGTTTTGCTTTCATTACGGCGAGGCTGATTTTTCAGCCCCCAAAAGGGGACCGTATCGGAAGAGTAAACTGTTTTACAGTTTGCAGTACAACAAATAAACATCTGGGACCGTTCACAGCACTCCATTAGAACATTCCATTTTTTTGCCAAAAAAGTGAAAATGATGACAAATGGGCTGTCACAGAGGCTGGGAGAGGCCAGATGACGGAGCTGTGGGTGCTAAGCACTGATTTTTAAAGCTCAGCAGGACAGGGGGAGATTTACACCTGCTGCTAGTCCCCCTATCCTCCATTAACTTGCATCTGGCAAGCGTGCATCACTCATTTACTCACGTCTGGATCTGCTCTGATGATATTGAGCTAAAATGCTAGGTTTGACAGACCGTCACAGACAGAGATATCTATGCCTGAGCCTTTGTATAATTGAGATAAATCTGCTTGGTGTGGGTGAAATGATGTCCTCATAACAAAGTCTGGTGAATATGCACTGCCCCCAAGCCTTTGGCACAACTGCCTCTTAACCAATGCCTCTCTAGGATCTGCTTTGTTGCTCCTGTAGTTTATATGCGTTTCAACACATCTGAATAGATCCCAGTGCCAAAACTATTGTTCTCATCATGAGTCTGTTTGCCCTTCATCCTTTTTTCTTTGGTACACTCTTAAAATAACAGTGCCAAAAGTTGCCAGTGGTCACTAGCCCTCCTCCTGAAGATCCTCCTTATCCTCCTCCTCCTGCAGGTTTCAACTCCAGCCCAACTGTAACTCACCTCTCACAGCTAATGAAGGATTCCTGAAGGTAATAATTAGATGGATCAGGTGAGGTCAGTTAGGTTTGGAGATAAAATCTGCATGAAGGTAGAGCTCCAGGAACAGGATTGGTGACCACTGCCATAGAAGAACCACGTTTGGTTTCCTAAAACACATCACAGTGGATGTTTTTTGTAAAGAAGAGATTTTTTAAATGAGATAAAAGTGTGAAGGTCCTTTGCAAAGTTAAAGAGTCTCCACATGATGTAAAAGTTCTACACCAATTTAAAGGTTTATTTCCTAAAACTACACGTCCAAGCCAATAGCCATTTAAGGAACCTTTATTTTTAAGAGTGTAAACCACTCAATGTATTAATATCATAAATGTAAAGCAGAGAGTCCAGCTCTGCTATTGTCAGGGGCGGTCTTTGCACTAGGCAAAGTAGGCAGCCACCTAGGGCCCCCATGAGCCAAGGGGCTAAATTGAAAATACAGTGTGCATGTTGATGTTAAATAACATATTTCAAAATACATATACATTTTTTTACTTTACAATTACTCCAATGTCTAGAAATAAGTTAAATAATGTTATAGTATTCCTACAAAAATCTCAAAAAATGAAAAATATTAGATATAGATTTAAGATTATTTCACTTTCCAAGATACTGTTTTGTATTTGCAGTGTAGAGCCTCAAAAAATAACTAATTTGAAAATGTGCATTCCTAGTCTTTTGTCGAGCCCCAGAATCACTAAATCCACCCCTGGCAATTGCTTCTAAAAGACTTATGTGTGCTCTAAGAGACACTGAAGTCCAAAGTCATAATGATTCTACCAATAAAGTTTCTCCCTTGGTAAATATTACTCTTACGTTAAAGACATATGGTGGTTTCATTATAACTAAATCTGTTACAGGGTTGAAAAATTTAGAATCTGGATTTATCATTCGCATCTCTGGGGTCAGTTGATAGATAATAATTTATTTTACTTTACTTATTTTAAATAGGGATTATTACCAGTATTAGGTGAATTCAAGTTTTGTCAGTATTTCTCAGATTTGACATAGTGATAAATGTAGCCATTTGAGTTAATAATGCCAAGCCAGGCTAAGTTGACCAGCCAGTTGCTAAAAATGTGTAAAAAGTTAAGAAGGAAAAAAAAATCAGAACAGATTTAGTTT